ATTGATTCTTGTAATTGGTTGTTAGTTTGATTTATTTTATTGATTTTACCAGTTATGTAATCTTCAGTGATTTGAAGTTGGTTTATTAAGTATTGATGATAGCCTGTAGTTAAAAAACCAGCTTGCTTTTCATCATATACATAGAATCGAATTGTTTTTCCAAGAGGATAATCTTTACAAACTCCTTGTCGGGGATTACCAACACCACCGAGATTAATAACATCACGTGGTTCATGTACTGTAATACGAATACCTAAATTTTTAAAAGCATAACTCATGATTTGAGTTTATGTATTTATTTATTGATTATCAATAAATCAGATTTGTTTCTTGATTTGGTTAACTGATATCAACGTGTCTAAAAATGTCTTTATTTTGGATTTACAATGAATATCTATTTTAGTTATATTCAGATTGGTTATAAAGAAAACATAAATTTTCTATGTGTTTCTTACAAGCTTTATATGTTATTTTATTAATTGATATCACCATGTCGTATTTTTTGAGACGAACCAAATCTGGACGATATGCTCCTAATCAAGAACATTATCCGAGTCGATTACCTTCTACTCACAGAGAAGATTCTTTTTCAGAGTTGTCTGTTCCAGATTCGCCACCTCCACCTTATCCAGGTATTGTAAGAATATCAGATTCGTTTACAACAGCTCCAGAAGGTATTTAAGAGCCGGAATTTTTAAATTTGATTTTTTAAATTTGTGTAATTTCGAATAATTATAATAAATAAATCGAATAAAAATGATTTCAGATCAGGTTATTTCTGAAGGTAATTATTATTATTTTATTAAAATTTGTTAAAAAAAATTAAATTATTTATTTTATGAATGTGTCGCCCAGGAATTTGAGCAATACAATCACGAGATAGCTTCTCTCAAAAAAACAAACGAAAAACTTTTAAATACTATTTCATTCTTGAAAAATAGTATTTTAATTTTATCATTTTTTTTTATTTTTTTCATTATATTTTTCACCATCTATATTTATTATATATATTCGTCAAATTTAAAATTACTTTCCAAAAGAGTAGAGGTTCAAATTCGAAAAGAACTTTTTAACGATTATTTAAAATTGGTTAGAAAACAATTTAATGAATTTGTAGATTTGATCGTTTTTAAATTAAATTCGATGTAATAAGTATCTTCACGATTTTTTTTAAAAAAATATCCGCATTTACATTATGTGAAATTTCATAACCGTTTATATTACCAGAAGATTCAGAAATACGTTATTGTAATTTTGCCAATTCAATATAAACAATTATTCAATAGTAAAGCCAGGTCTCTTTTCATTGCAAATTTCTAATGCAAGATCAATATTAAATGAGCGTCATTCTTTAATTGAATATATATGTTATTAAATAGATCCCCAACACCGAAGTGCAACGTTATTCAGAACAAGATTAACCAATTTAATATATAATCTCAAACGATATGAAATTAAAAATTTTTTTTGTTTTTGATTATTAATTTGATTTTTTATAAAAAAAATGAAATTTCAGATTTTATTCTGTAACTTTAATGATGATAAAATTAAAGATTCGTGAAATTTGGATCATATTCAAATGCAATTATGTTATTGCAACGACGAATTTAAAAAAATTTAAACGTATTTTTCCGAACGATGAAGAAATCACCATTTTAAATATTTTTTCGATTAAGAAAGAAATTTCTCAAGAAACGGAAAAGAGTTTATTAACTTTCGATAAAGAATTTATCGATTACGAATTTATTTTTGGTTAACTGTATCGAAAATCGAATTTTGTCATTGTTAATTTGATTGGTCATTAAAATAAAAGGTCAATTTCGTTATCAATCTTTTTTTGGTCAAATTTATAAGAATTTTTGAATTTTGGAATTTAGAAGCTTGATATCTTGATTTGTAATACAAATATAATTGGCGTAATTTATATTTATCTGATTACAAAGAAATTCTTTGTTAAATATTTAATTTTACATATATGTTGTAAATCATTTATTAGTTTTTAAATAAATTTATACATATCTAAAATTGGTATTCTATAATGATGTACAAATTACATCGATTTCAATATTAATTAAAAATTGGAAAGTATATAAAGACGATAAAATTGCTATTTCGATTATTCACCTTTTGTTTTTATAATGACGGACATTTGAAGTATACACAACTATGAAGAAAACCTAATATCGATAATTAATTTTATCGATTTAGGCCGTGTTAAACTCGTAAGATATCCAAATTTGAAGAAGTGTAGCTGTTTTATACAGTGAATAGCGTAAGGTTTAAACTAAGCTAGTTTGAGCTTCCCCTTATGCCTTGTATATTTGAATTTGGAGAATTTTATATTCGTGGTTTTACTTCATATACTTGAGTAAAGATATTGGTCATATTTAAACATTGAGCAAAGTAGTCAAGGTTTATAACATTATGGTCTAGGGCCGTTATATCCCTCCCTTGAAATAGATAAAAGCTCTTTGTTATATTGTTTTAGGAGTCATATGATATGTAATCGCCACGGGGTTGACTCTGGTAATACGTTTTTTAAACGTAGCTAATAACATATCAAACTTTATTAATAATAAAAATTTGTAATTTCTAATTAATTATATATATTAATTTAATAAAATAAATATTTAAATTACATTGAGAATCTCATTTATAAAATTTAAAAAAAATGAAGTTTATAAAATTAATTATCATTTTATTTTTTCTTGTGTTATCTCATGCTAATAATAAACATAATATCAATGAAAATAATGATAAAGTTTTATTAATCGAAAAGATAATTAATGAAACATTACATTAGAAAAACGAATTAAACTGCAAATCACTAATCATAAATTTAACTAATAACAATTTCGACATGAAATGTTATTATGAAGGATGTGAAGATCTATATTAATGATTTGTTACCCAACATTTGTATTTCTTAATAGAATTTCTTTTGTTAATTAAGAAATCTTCTTCTTTCCAATCAAATCCAATAATGATGTTTTCAATATTTTCATTGTTAAGAATTTTATTAAGAAATTTTTCTGTAAAAACGAAATTTCTAAGATTACACGAGATAATTTTTAAATATACTAAAGTTTTTTGAATTTTTAAATTTTTCATAAATAGTTTTAACGTTGTCAATATTTGTATTAATAAAGCTAAGACATCTTAATTTTTTTAACGATGCAAAATAATCTAAAATATTCTTTTCTTCTTTTTTATGAAATTTAATATTTCTAAACCTGAGATTTGTGATATTTACTGAATTAATCGACTTCAAATCACAAAGTTTGACAGTAATATTATATAAGTTGTAACCATGACTATTTCTTTTCCAGTTTCCAAGAGCAATTCCGTATATGTTATTGAATTTGATTAAATCACCAATATGAGTGGTGTCTAGATAAATATATCGTTGTTTATTATTTCATGTATCATTATTACTTGAATTGTATTTAATAATAAGGTTGATGATATTAGGTTTATTTATGTTTGGAAGTTAAAAATAGGTAATTTTTTTTGAATAATTAAATATCAATTCAAGAACGGTTTTTATGACTTGGTTTTTCCAATTTATATGAAGATCAAATTCACATGTGATGGTTCGGTAATTGATTCCATGAGTAACAATCTTAAAAATACTATCAATATGAATTTGTCTGATAAAGGATAAATAATTGAAAAGAGGTTTTTCCATATTATCAAAGTGAGAAGAATAAATTTGAAACAAAACACTCTCTTCGTTGTACTTGGATAAGTAATAATAAATTATTTTTTGTAAGCTTGCATAATTTCTTCCAACACATGAACAAAAAGGATCTTCTCATAAATAAGGAAGAGAAGCTACAGCAAATGATCTCGAAACCAAAACATAGTTAAAAAAATTATCACGATCGATATAAATCAAAAATGAAAAGATTATTGAAAGAATTTCAAAAGATAACGAATTCATTTT